AAAAAAAAAAAAAAAAAAAAAAAAGAGTAGTGATGATAAGATAGAATTGGAATTCATACTCAGATGCATCTTGCTTTATGCAAGTATGTAATATAGGACTGAGAAGGGGTATGTCACTGAATTATCTACCTTAGGCTGAGCTGGGGTTTTGCTATAGAGCAAAGAGTCACCCTCTAGTTTAGGTCATGTGTAAATCCAACTCTTCATTTCTCTTCCTTCACATACACTTTCTTCTTCAGATATTCTTGTTCAGATCTGAGTTTGGCAATAGCCTGATTTGTAACAATTCTTGTACCTAAAAAAATACATAATTTGAGTAGAAAATAGAAAACTCAGGCTAATTGCTGAGATGGTGGTATAGATAATTGCCACGTACCATAGAGTTTTAATTTATTTTCTTTAACTTGGTATCAAGATTAGCAAGAAGAAGAATCTGCTTAAAAGACTGAGGCATCTTGCTAACTCAGGTTTTTCACCATTAAAGTCCTTGCTGCTTGGTTTTTTCCATGTATTCTTGCCCAGCAGGAGAAAAGTAAGCCTTGTGAAGATAGCCTTCCACTTTTGTTCAGTTTTGCTTGGGAAAATGTAGAAGAAAAAAGACATTCTGAAAGAATAGGCTTTCACCTGAAACCCACAGCTGAGAAGGCGTAGTGTGGCCATGTAGGTTTCGACAGTTCGGGGCTGTAAGCAGGCAGGGGGCAGTGCAGGCAGCTCCGGGAGTGGGCGGAGGAGTGGACCAAACGAACGTGCCAGTTTCCAGCAGTGACTGCTGCCCTCCTCCCAGCTACGGCCTTCTTCATTACTGTAACACATACATCTCTAAATGCCTAAAGTAACCCTCTTTAAAAAAATGAGAGTAACAAATATTTCTTTATATTTTTTCTTGCATTTTTATTATTAAAATTGCCAAACATCACAAAAATGAGGAGTATAATGAACTCCCATGTACTATCACCCAGCTTCAATAACATGAACATTTGCCGTACTTTGAAGGAACATATCTTATTATTTTTGCCTCTGATGAATTGTGCAAGAGGTCTTATTGTGGGTGTAGTTTACAGGTGCACATTTTCTCATTGGAATCTGCTGGTGTGAGGTCCATGTGTTACATATTGTAAAATAAATAGATGGAGTTTTGAAATTTTTAACAGCTTGTAGCAAAGAGAATCCAAGCCTAAATGGGTTCTTTATGTCCTACAAAAAAAAAAGGAAATACCCAAGCTTAAAACATTCCAAGAACTTTATTCTTAACAAAAATTATTATATTTAATTCATCTTCCAGATACCTAGTGCTATCTCATTACAGAACCAATCAGTAGAAAATAAAAATGAAAAAAATAGAACCCCACCAAGTATGAAAGTGACTTTGGAAAAGAAGGCAAATCAGCAATAAGGAAAACTTCAAAGAGAAAAGCAAGATAGGAATCCCGGGGACTGTTAGGAGAGGCTCAATAAAGAAAACAGAATCACCAGAGTGGGATCGGAAGACTTGGGAGTTATTTTCAAAGTGACTCATCAGAAATCCATTTTTGGCAGCAGATGCTTATAGGAACTCATGTTAGAAATTCTGCAGGTTGTTGTTGTTGTTGTTAACTTGTCTCATTTTTCAGTTGGAAGAGGCTGAAAAGTTTGCCAGAACTGTCGTCGATGCAGGAGAGAAAACGTCAGAGTTCAAGGCCAAAGGCTACTTAGCTCTGGGGCTCACGTACAGTCTGCAGGCCACTGATGGTGAGAGAAGTCCCACCCCACGGGAGCAGCTGGGTCACAGGGCTGAGTCACCTGAGTGTGTACTGCAGGGTTCTCGCAATCCCCTTCTGTCTCAGGAGGGTGCAGAAGTTGGGTCATTGTTTGTTGTCCTGTGGGACCCCTGGTGCCTCTTTGCTTGGACTGGCAGGAGAATGGGAGGGCAGGGAGGGGGGCCCCATGTCAGGGATCCCAGCTCTGTTCCAGATGCACCATGCTGCCAGGGCATGGGCACCTCACTGGCACGTGCAGGGACATCTGCCACCAGGGGCAAGGTGATTCACCTACCCAGCCTTGTGCCTGCTCCTGCCCTTGCCCTTGGCCTGGACTGTCTCCATGAGAAAGGATGTGGGATCTTAGGTACATGAACGTAGAAAAGTCAGAGCCAGACACTTCCAGGAAGCTTCCCTTGACTGGTCAGGAACTGCCCCTTCCCCATCCAAACGTTTTAATCCACAGACACGTACACGTGCAGTGCAGCAGCTCACCAAAAATCCAGGGCTCTTGGGTGTGGTGATTTGTACATGTGGACATGCTTAGAGTTTTGGTGGATGGGCTTCTGGCCAAAAAAAAAAAATCTTCCTTATGTTTTGTAGACTTAATGAAATTTTCAATATGTTTGCAGAAAGTATAAATTTACAAATTGTTTTTCTGAACTTCTACTATTCTTCTTTTAACATTTTATTGTTAAATATAACACAGATACAAAAAAAATCTCAAAGACAAATGTATAACTTAATGAATTAATATAAGGCAAAGTACCCTTGTAACCACCACCCTGCTCAGGAGACAGAACCTTGCTAGCCACCTGGGAAGCCCTCCACATTGCCCTCACAAGCTCCCTCTTCCTCCTGAGACAAAATACCATCCTGACTTTTGTAATACTTCTTTTTTTCTTTATAGTTTTGTTATAGTTTATTTTACAAATTACCTCCAATCCCCCCTTCCTTTGCCCTAGAATATCAAAGACCCTGGGGAAGTTTTATATATCAATTGGTTTTCAATTTGGATTCTTTGCTAATTTTCCATATATACATGATATATTGGCAATAACCAGCACATTGCTTTAAACACAGTTGACTTTCAGTGACGAGTAAATTTAATGCCACACATTTATTCATGTAAATTCTTAGTTCAGACTCTACCCCTAAGTAGCCCTGTAACTTTGGGAGAGTCATTTGACCCTGTTGTGCGACACATCATGCCTTCCTGGCATGGGTAGGGTCCCTCCAAGGTTCTCTCTAGCTCCATCGCTGTTCTAAGTTAGCCATGGGCTCTGGCCACATCTGGCCCTGGGGCAGCCTTCCACTGCCCTCGGTCTGTTGTCAGGCTGGGAGCTGCCTGTTGGAGTTGATAGATAAGGGCCTCCTACAATTCCAACCATAAACAAGTTTCTCCAGGACTTTTTTCTTGCCCCAGTAAAAAGTCCCTCTTTCTTTCCTAGACAAGTTTAAGGGAGCCATTTCTCATGTGCTCTGCACAGGGGAAGTGTTGGCTCATAGCCAAGTGGCCTCACACTTTGTAAGCTAATTTTCCAGTATCTGTGTTGGGTTTGCCTGCTCCATCCCTTGTTTTCACATCAAGGTGTTAAAGGTCCTGGGCATTGTTCAGTGGGAATTAAACTAGCCTTTCATGGCACCAAGCTAGGTCCTTGGCCCAGGATTATGGCTTCTCAGTGCCAGAAGGAACTTTGAAGGCCATGTAATGTAACACCACTGATGCTTGCATCTGTCTATACCACCCTGGTAGAGCTAGTCTTTGCCCATGAGTTATATGCCTACACTTGGCAGGACAGACATGTTCCTTCTGGAGTTCCCAACTGATCTTTAGGAAACAGCCCCTAGATGCCTGGGGGTACCAAGAGTGACCATCCAACTCAACTCTCTCCTCTTGGCATTGTTTCACAGCTATGTCCAATGAATGCAAGTGCCTCGGGTAGAACTGGGCTTCATTTCCTGTCTTCTGCGGTGCCTAGTGCAGGGCTGGGCACATAGGCACTCAGAAATTATTGCTTTTAATCCAGTTGAATATACAGTTTTTGGTTTTGCATTTGTCAAAAACTCCCCGATCTCCCATGCCACTGACTAATTGAACCCTTTTCTTAGCTTCTTTGCGAGGGATGCAGGAGGTCCTACAGAGAAAGGCGCTTCTTGCATTTCAGAGGTGAGTGGGAGTTCATCTTTTCACTCGGCTGTACATAATGACACCAAAGTATGATAAGTATAAAAAGAAGAGATATTTATAAAGATTATGTAAACAGTGTTTTACCCCTGGGAGTCTTTCGTCTTGAGCACCGAACATACAGTATCAAAATTTGCTGCATCACTTGTTGCCCTGTAAATCTGCATTCATAATCTGTTTATCCATTTGGGCACATTTTATTCATTCCTAATAAAGTGATTTCAGCTTGAAAAAGATAGATACTTTGTATGTCTAGGGAAATGATTCCTTTATTAAAGACATTTGTCATCATCTAGAAAAGAGATTATTCTTTTCTAGCTTTTTTTTTTTTTTAAATATGTCAAGCTGTAGGTTTTTATATTAAACAATGAAAAGGCCAGCTTTCAGGAAGTCTCTGAAATACTAAGTGAAGACAGCCAGCCCAGTGAGCCCCAGGCCCCCGCCCCCACTTTGCTCCATAATACCTTGTACCTGTCTCTGTGATGGTGCTGCCCAGGAAATGAGGATAACGTCTTGTAATTATAAAGTGCTTGAGCGTCTCAGTGCTCTCTCACATCCCTTATTTAATTTGCTCCTCACCGCACACCAATAAGGTGGACCGACAAGCAATATGTCCATTGTAGATCAGGGGCTGGGATACAGGAGTTACAGGAATTGTCAGTCATGTAGATGTTGAAGTCAGTAAGGGATCAAGTTCTCTTGACTGTAACCCAGTTTTTCTTATGCCTCCTCTACTATACTGCCCTGATTTTACTTTTATTACAGGTATAATAAATCACTAAAATGAAATCGTTGCCTGAAAGTATAGCCCCATGATATGAAATCTAGAATTGGTATTGATCCTATCACATTAAATATATCTGAGTTACATTGATTTCTTGGAATTCTATTATTAATAGTCATTGCTTATATGAAAATTTCATGAGGACCTCCTAATACCCAATAACCTTTGTTAGACTCTTTTCTTAGGACTGGGGTTGCCTACAGATTTGTTGTGGCATCCATGTGCCTTTCTCGTGAAATCATTATCACTTGGTTTCAGTTAGTCTGAGACTCTTCCATTTCATTTCTTCGTTTCCTAGCAGGCTTGCTGATAGCTTCTTGACTTTGCCAGCCCCAGTCTTGTTAATGACAAAAAGTACCAATTGACATCTGCAAACAGATCTCCTGTCTATGCTAAGCTTTTGTTGATGTTCTTCAGCACGGAGTGTGGAAAGCATTTCCATTTCAAATGATCTGAAGTTTTAAATTCTCCAGTCCTAGTTTGTAAAACCCACACATGGATGCTGTAGAAAGTGGTCATTACATCTGTTTCACTTTTCTTAAATCAGCACATCTTACTGGCTCTCTAAAAACAGCCACAGTGGTGGTCTGCCTTGGGCTGCCAGTATAACTTCGTGTTATATAACAGCTGTTCCATTGGCCTGAATTCTTTTTTGTTCCTTTTTTGCTTAGGTTTTAATTCAAAGAGATTTTTTAAATATTAGTTCATATGGGAATAAAGAGTAATAAAATCCCACTAACCTAAGTGATTATGTTGTGGAAGGCTAACCTAAATTAGTATTTGTGTGAAATACAGAATGTTTTCCAAAGGAATAAAATTATTTTGTTCCAAGTAGACATTAACTAGGATTATTCTAGTGAATTATAATCCTAACAAAAATCTTTAAGGGAAAGGTTTTAAGTAAATAAGAATGATTTGTATTATTTCTTAAATATAAATGGATAATTTAAAACTACTTGGATTAGAAGTACTTTTTCTATGTATTTTAAATATTCTTCCCACAATTCTGTTTATACTATTGTTTTGCATTTTTTGTTTCAAAAGAAAATACTGTAATTCAAAAAGGGATAGGGTTGTGGATATAAGCACGTGAAAATTAACTTTTAATTGTGATTGGAGCCAGAATCCAGAAAGATTTGCTCTCTAGTGGATTCAAAAATATGATTTTTAAAGACATCCTAGTTGGGTGGCTGCATCTTTTTTTTTTTTTTTTTTGAGACAGAGTCTCACTCTGTTGCCCTGGCTAGAGTGCCGTGGCGTCAGCCTAGCTCACAGCAACCTCAAACTCCTGGGCTCAAGCCATCCTCCTGCCTCAGCCTCCCGAGTAGCTGGAACTACAGGCATGTGCCACCATGCCCGGCTAATTTTTTATATATATATTTTTAGTTGTCCAGATCATTTCTTTCTATTTTTTTAGCAGAGACAGGGTCTCGCTCTTGCTCAGGCTGGTCTCGAACTCCTGACCTTAAGCGATCCGCCCGCCTCGGCCTCCCCGAGTGCTAGGATTACAGGTGTGAGCCACTGCGCCCGGCCGGGTGGCTGCATCTTAATGTGAGACTGTCAGCTGTTCTTACACTCACAAGCTCAACCCAAGCAGCTGAACCAATTCATCTGCCCTGTACAAAAGTATAGTAAAGAAAAACATAATATTGTTAGCAAAGCTTTTTAAAGATGCTGAATTGATCTGAGTTGCTTCTTCTGTGTGCTATCACGTCCTGAGAAAAGAAATCCTGAAAACAGTTGAGAGCATATTTCATGTGGCACACTGACCCACAGTGTGCAGAAAGCCTGGTGCTCCGGGAGGAAGAGGTGGCGTGGTGTCACTTAGTGTGGTCAAGTGTACACAATCCCACTTTATTTTCCCCTCTCCCTCATAGCATGAGTTCAAGTGTGGTATGTTTTGTGTGTATAGGGTGACTAACCATCCCGATTTATTGGGGACTGAGTGGCTTCCCAGAGCGTGGGACTTTCAGTGCTAAAACCAGGAAAGTCCTGGGCAAACCAGGACAAGTTGGTCACCCCATGTGTGTAACTAGTGTGTGGTTCCTGAGTAATAGATTTAACCAGGTTTACACATTTCTGTTCTTAATACACCCATGTTCTCTCATCAGGACTGGAGGGGACTGCAAGGAGCCAGCAGGGTGGTATTGTACAAAGACCAGGCCTTGGAATCTCACATCCTCCATTCCACTTCTGGCTCTCTCTCTTTTGCTGGGTATTCTTGGGCAAGGTGCTTAGTAGTAGATACTTCATAGATTATAATTATTATTGTGTTATTATTGTGGGTGTTCTTGGACAAGATGCTTAATAGTAGATACATCATAAATTGTAGTTATTTTTGTATTATTATTGCCTTAAGGATTAGAGTTAAAATTGATCGGCATGCTCTATATTGTTGGTTCAGCTCTAGAGGATGTTGGAACTGGAGTCTAAGAGAGCGCTGGGATGGACCTCACAGCGTCCTGGGTTTTAGCCGGGTGTCTGGGAGGCCCATGTCATGCTCTCCAGGAGCAGCGCAACATGCCTCTCTCTGGGCCGTGCTCGCACTGCACTGCGATGGTCACTTTGGGTCTCCCCCCGGGGGCAGAGGGAGCTCCTCAAGGAAGGGCACTTGTATGATTCATCTCCAGGCTCCCCAGAGGCTGGCATGGGGCCTGGCATCACATTGTAGGTACTGCATAATATTGATGGATGGGCAGCCTCTTCCTCATGAAAGAGAAACTGAATTAATGAATGTGGAGGTAGGTGCTTTGATAAGGGAAGCATTTTGAGTGTTCCTATGGTGATGTTTTTAGGTGTCTGGGTTTCTCTTAGCAGCCTGGACAGGTGCCCACTGCATGGGAATGGAGTTTATGAGGCTGCTTTAGATTCATGTGCAGAGTTCAGAAGGCTTACAGTTAGTTTTCAAAGAACACTAATGTCTTTCTCTCACCTGTGTCGTGTGTTGGTTTCTGTCAGGCAGGTCGCCTGTGGGCATTCCAAAGGGGCTTTGTCACAGGAAACCCAGCTGTTGATGTTGTTCTGCAATACCGTAGCAAGTTTTCTGGCCTCTACATGAGATCAACACTGCGCTTTTTCTTGTTTTGTTTGGCATTCTTCTTGTTTCCTTTCTTCTTTCATAGGCTAAAGTGGTCAGTTTAATTCATGAGCCAAATTGAGGTTTTTAAAATATGTATAAGTTGTGCCTCATTGGAAATTTGGCAATTGGATATTCATTATTTGCTAAGTTCTGAATTCTTGAGATGTTGCCCTAAGGCACCCCAGAAATACCAAGATCTCTAGCACTTCTGGTTTGTTTCTTTCACAGCGCTGTGGTTAACAGTTAAAAACCAATTGATGAGGCCAGGGTGGGGCCTTTGGCGAGAACTGTCTTTACCCACACCCTCAATTCACCAAACCATTGCTAGCTTTTCGCTTGGTTGGTGTTGTATAGAGGCAACCATGAGTTGATTTAACTTCATTTGTGAAAAATAAGAATTGGGCTGAGAAAATTATAGCTCTAAGAAATTCTTTTCGAGGGTTATGGAAACCTGATTTTATCATTTGTGAAAGAAAACAAGATAAAATAATCCTAAATAATTCAAAGTCTCTTCATAATTAATTTTGTATTCGTATTCCCTGAATAATTGTGAGAGACAGAAACCATGACATTCCAATCTCACTTTTTATGAACACCAAAGAAAAAATTCTTTGATGTACAAATTCATGAAAAACCAATGCTTGTAAAATTATAAAAGCTGGAGCGTACTGAGTAGGCCTCTGGCAGAAATAAGACATTTTAAAGGATAATACAGACAAACCTCAGCCTCAGCCTCTGAAACTAGGGTGAGAAAAGTCCTAAGGCTGTGTCTTCAGGCCAGGTTACCAGTGGTGGTTCTCCAGGAATGGGAGTTTAAGTGCTTTGCTCTTAAGATTCATATAAGGACAAAAACTAACTCTGCCTCACCCCAGTCCTGCATAGGAGCTACTACATTGGCCCAAACAATTCCCCAAATTACTGGATTTAGCATATTTTCTGGATGGCAAATACCTGGGAGACTTTTTAGCTCCTTCCAACAGCAGACAGACAATTTGATTAAAAGGCCTTAATAGAAAGCCATTGTCGGTGTATTTGCCACAGTTGAATCTATAATGATTCAGTTTTCTTTTTTATATTGAATTTGTTTTGTGATGGTAAAAGAGCGTCCTTTCATCACAAAATGTTGACAGAACAGCGTGAAGATTTGTTTACTATCTGGGTCCCACCTAATTAGTCTGCTCCATGGTGCCTTTTAAAGAAAGTAAAAGTTTGTTTTTCTCTTCCCACCAGGCTGTTAGACACAGAATTGTGTCTTGTACGTAGTCACATTTTGAGTTGCTTTTGCTGAGATACAAAAAGCACAAAAAGGCCATGTTTGCAATCAGTTAGGAGGCCAGTGTGGCCTCTTCCCATGTGGTGTCAAAGGCCAGTTTGTGAAACAGCCTGGTGTCTTACCACAGTCTCACATATCACAGTTGTGTGGACAAAATCAGTAAACTGCAATGGAATTTAGTAGACGCTTCAAAGCACTGAAGAGTGTCTTTCTTTTCTGCCGTTCATCAAAAACCAAAACCTCATTTTATGAGCTAAGCTGGGTCTTGGATTTTCATATGGTTTCTCTGAAATGCAGAAATTTGGATGAAGTAGCGCTAAGGCCAAGCCAAACTTAACCAAAGCGGCCATCACTTTGCCAAGTACACACATGGCCTCGCCGTGTCCCAGCGTGACACAGGGCCTTCTCCAGCTCAGCCCAAAGGAAGCCTCCGCTGGGGGCTCAGACCCCAGGGCCTGTGGATTCTCCCCCTCCAGGCCCCTCCTCAAAGCCTGTGAGCGTCGAGCAGTAGGCAAAACACAGAAGCATGCTCCTGTGATATACTTGTATACAGCGGTGAGAGACAAAATGCTTTGCATTTGTTAGTGGACAAAGGAGAAGAGTTTAAATGAAATGTTAAATAGTTAAAACTAAGTATGTGGCCTCGGTATAAAAATGCAAATGTGAAGACAACTTGTTTGATAGAGAAAGTAAAACTGGCCTCCTCTCCCGTGTACTAACAGACATAAATATTTTTTCAGGGCGCACAGCCTGTCACCCACAGATCACCAAGCAGCTTTCTACCTGGCTCTGCAGCTTGCCATCTCCAGACAGGTCAGTTACTCTCATGCTCCCTAACCTTGGCGCCCTGCGTGTCTCGACACAGTTCCTTCAGCTCTTCAGTTGGAGGTTGTAGGTGATCTTCCTCCATTCACTTGTGGCTGACTTGCAGCCAGGGACCCTTCTCAGAGAACACTGACTGCTTACGGCGAAGACCCTGGTATTTTGGTCAGTTTGAACATCAGCTGTGAAGACTCAGGAGTTCCCGACTCTGCTTTTGGAAATTAAATCCACACACAGATCTGGAGGGCCCAACCTAGGGTCAGATGGCAACGTGGGATGCAGCACATGGCGTATACCCTGAACCCAGGAGTCATCAAAGAGCCTTGCTAACAGGAACAGGGTAGCAGAGCCACTGCTGAGCTGCGCGGTGGGGATTTAGTCACTGTTTGGGGCCTGGTTGTCATAAGGGTATCAGGAATTGACAGGAAGGTGCCAGCAGAGGTAGCCAAACGATACCAGGTCCTTTAAAATACACGGAAAATATGAACAATTACACACAGTGGCTACTTGAAATAGGAGATGCTGCACTATTCTCCTTGCTGGAGAGGCAAGCTTCGCTGGCCTTCATCTTCCCAAAGGCAGCTCCAGAAGCTGCCTTTGCCATTCCCATACCCTCCTGTCCCCTCCCAGCTGTTCTGGAGACTCTGGCCACATGCCTGCTCGTCCACCAGGTGCAAGACATTGGTGGTAACCCCAGCACATTCTTGAGTGCTGACTGGGAGGGTGAATCAAGGGTCAGCTCCCCAGACATGCCATTCCCCTGGCAGCCTGGGCTGAGGCATGCATCTGACTTCCTGGTTGCCTGGGAATGGCATTGAGAAGTGGCTTCCATTGGCAACCTGGGGACTGAGGAAACCAAGATACCTTCCCTGTAAAGGTCCTCTCACCTGATATGGTGTGGCTCACAGGGGGACTGATCAAGAGCTGCTTCTGCAACAAATGTGGGCAGTGACTGACCACATGGTCCCTCCCCTTCACTGGGAGCTTCTCTCACCTCCTCCCTGAAGTCTTCTTCCTATAGTAGCCTGCACTTCTTTCTCTTGCTCAGCTCTCTTGTTCGGTATGTGTCTTCCTCACTGGAGTTTAGGTTCCATGAGGGCAGGGACCCACATCTGTCATCATCATTGATTTACCCTGGCCCTTGGAGCACTGCCTGACGTGTGTTCAGCACTCAGTGATACTCGTCGAATGAAGGAACCAGCTCTGTATTCCTTCAAGCCAGCTACCTTGTAAGGACATGATTTGAACCCTGTGTCAGTTTGCCCCTGGTGGTCCTGGTCACCCCTGCAAGTCAACACCATGCCTATGCTGTGCCTTTTGACACGTCTAGTAATGCCGGGTTGAGTGCTCTTCACAGAGTAGGCTGTCACCCTGGGGAGTGGATAAGTAGAAGGAGCCTTGTGGGCACCTAGCATGAGAACACAGAGCTCTGAGGGAGTGTTTCCCTGCCACCCGGGGGAAGGAGTTCGACCAGGAGGAGAGGAGGGAGAGGAATCAAAAGATACAGAGTCACTCTCATCCCAGTCACTCAGTAACTTGGTGACCTCGCTCAAGTCATTTCACCTCTTTGGATTCAGCCTCCTCCCTGTAAATGAAGGTCTGGGCCAGATGATCTCCCTTCCAGCTGTGGCAGCCACATTTCTGTGATTCAACAGCAGAAATCCTCCAAAGCTCGCATTTATAACCTAAATCCATCAAGAATGGCAGTTCAGGGAGGAAAACTAATACATTAGGGAAAGAGAAGGCATGGATTTCTCCTAATGGGTGAGGTTACTAAGGGTTTGAGGAAAAGCAGGAGAGCTAAGAAGAGGCTCCATGTAGGACTGGAGTTGGAGCAAGACTGGAAGGAGTCCCGGGGGCAGTTGTATAAGAATGCTTCAGTCTCCAGCTCTATGTCAAAATCCAGCTTCAGGTTCCGATTCTCCCTGGTTACTGTTAAACCTGCATGGAATCCAAGGTGTTCAGAAATCCATTATGTACGCATTTTATCAACCCTTGTGCTCGGATGATTTTGAAGAAACTCTTGAACAGCTGTTGTATTTAAAGGTTAAGGTTGTGTCTGGTCCTGTGAATTTGGATACATCTGCTTTGTATGTGGCATTGCAATTTGTTTCTTGGATCAAGTTATTTTGGGTTATAGTTTGGAAAGGTGTGTGGGTTTTGTTTTTTTTTTGCATATTTCCTTGATGTCTAATGGAGGTCCAGGACAAGGGAACCAGAAAAGAATGACAGGCATCTGATCATTTGGAAATCTCTGTTAAAGGTTTTATAACTTATTAAGCACTTTAATTTCAGTAATACTTTAAAAAATGAGAATAGTTCAGCTAAGACAGTTTAATTCCACTAAAACCTCTGGCAATTTGTACGTGTCTCCATTTCGAGTGAAATCATCTTGGGCACAATCAAAAGTAGATCCGTTTTGTGGAAAGCATAAGAAAGTGCTTATTTAGGGAGAAATGAACGACTTGATACGGTATTGGCAGTTATGCAGAGAAACAGTCTCTTGTATCACTTCTTCAGTCAGACTAGCTCTTGAAGGGAGCATCTGTTTTCATGTTTGTGGTTAACATCCTGGGGCTGCCATAAAGACTGGGCTTAAAATTTGAACGTGGCACAGTGTAGAGCAACTCTTGATGTTTATGGAGAATCAGACATTGAAATGATGGCTTCTCTCTTGTGTGACTGTGTGTGTGTATGTGTGTGTTTAAAAATCCTTTTTGGTTTTGCTTTAAACTAGATACCAGAGGCTCTGGGGTACGTCCGCCAAGCTCTTCAGCTTCAAGGTGATGATGTCAACTCCCTGCATCTCCTCGCGCTCCTGTTGTCAGCACAGAAGCATTACCACGATGCTCTGAACATCATGGACATGGCCCTGAGTGAATACCCAGAAAACTTTATGTAAGTGACCCTGCTGGGTCTTCACTTCCCCCTTAATCAGAAGTTACTACGTTTACTTTTTCCCTCCTTTTTCTCTCTAATCCGTCTAAGTCCTTCATGGACATCCTGGGAGTCAATAATATAAAATCCCACTTTATCATTGTCTTTTCCTGATATTTAAATATAAACTTAGCCTGTTAGATCATCCCCACATAGTATTAGGTCATCCTTATTTAGTTAAAATACTTTATTCACTCTTTCTCAATGTGTACCATTGGAGTACATGAGATGATTTTATATGGATTGTGGATGAACATTGGTATTTTAATAGTTATACATTTTTAAATGTGTATTAGAAAAAATACAATACATATCAAAGTGTGATTTCATGGAAATTACTGCTCAGGGGGCAACTAAGAACTTTTAAAGTCAATTTAAAGAAAAATATTAAGTAAATACTAATACAGATATAGTTGGATATGGCAAAGGTATGTTAAACAAACTCCAATGACTGAAATTTGAGAAATATTGCTCTACGGCTTGGCTTCCACTAGCTCTGGGTGATTATTCTATTTTAGGCAACTTTGATCAAGATACCTTACCTCTTTGTGCCTTTGTTTTATTTTCCAGGAAACAGAATTTCTTAAATAAATTAATCAATATTTGTACATAACCTAAGAATTATCATTATAAAGTGCCGCATTCTTGAATTACCTGCTGTCTTCGCATCTTTCTTGGGAATCACTGAACCCACGCCTGTTGGTTAGGCTTTGTTGAGAAGGACATTGTCTTTTGAGCTCCTGGGTTACCATTTTATCCTCAGTGGTAGTAGCTTGGTAACCAGTACACAGTGGCCAGAAATAGTAAACACTCCTGCACGCTGGAAGGTTCTAATTGTCTACAGCATTGCAGAGTCAGTAATGGGTGGGAGGAGACGGCCTGGGGTGGGGGAGAAGGGAGGGAATGTAGAAGGTGGCCCAGACTGGCTTTCTTCACTTTCAGAAGTAAGTGCAGTCACAAACTTTAAGTGGGTCAGCTTTGGTTTTATTTCTCTGCCTCATCACCTCACTGTGTTTTTAATCAGTGCTTTTCAGCAGCTCTCCTTGGAAAATTGGTTCACACATTTCCATTACAAACATTTCTTTGTCTTCAAGTGAAAAGGGCACTTCTCTTCTCTCCATCCAGAGAATTCTTGTTATAATCCAGGAAACCTCTGACTAGAGATTTCTTTTGTAGGCTCAGCTATTTATGCAGAGTGAATTAAAGAGCTTTGCTGCAGTGTTGTACTTCTTGCAGATCTCAAACTTGCTCTTTTGCACACTGACTGTATTTCTGGATTAGCTCAGGGATCCTTAAAATGGTTAAAACACTTTTAAAACTATTCAGTGCTTTACCCATCAGTAAAGTACAACCTGATAGAATTGAATGCAGTTTCTCTCATCAATATTTATAAAGCACCATTCCCCGCATCCCACCCTCCACTCTCTCTCTCCCTCTCCCTTCCTCTTCCCCTCTCTCTCTCCCCTTCATTAGATGTTACACTCCAGCATGTGGTTCCTTCTTCCACAGCCTAGGGTGTCCTCCAAGAGGAGGCTTATTAAACTAATAGCCATACCACACAGTAAGCAGTAAACAGTGGTGGCTAATACGGTAATGCCTCCAAGTGACAGCAGCTGACAGCCTTTTCAAGTAGTAGAAGTAAGGAACAGAAGTAGAGATATTTGAGGAATGCAAGGCTGTTATTTTAATGTTAAGCCTTAAGCTCAAAAAAGCAAAGCATATGGCAGCAGGTCTGAGAGCAGCCATGACTTGTTTGCTTTTTAAATATTTGTATGTCTTCCTTTGTGATGGGAAACTTCTTCCCAAGAATACTTTATTAAAAGCTGGGGCCAGATGTACCCAGTGGATCCCATGGTTTCTTCCCAACCTGGGTAAAACATTTCAATACCAACCTAAACAAGATTAAGTGGGCACTTGTCCCACTACCTTGTAGTATTATCTGTTGTTTGTAACAAGCTTATTTGCAGCAGAACTGTAGACTCCCTGCAGCCTGGGAGTGGAGGACATAGTTGATGTGTAGTCAGAACTTGCGAGAAAGAGGTGGAACCCTTCCCACCATGAGGGCCAGCTTTGTCCACCTGTTGAGTGGTTGCCAGAGGAGACAGCTGAAGGCCCTTGGAGGAGCAGCTGGTCTCTCCAACATTACTCATCCTTATTGTCACCGTGAAATGATAAAAATTGCTGTTTAAGTACTTTGAATAAGCTTAACAGGGTCCAAAAAGTTCTAAGCTGAGAGCAGGCACCATTTCAGACACTTTGTCACTCCAAGCAGAACTGAGACCAAACAGATTCAACAACTGGGAAGAACTTCCTAAGTGTAGGGATCGTAAGAACCAAGAATCCTTTCTTAAGGGAACCCCAAAAAGAAGTTCATAACTCTAGAGAAGTAGCCAGTTTGGAGGGGTTTTATAGGGTTAGTTCTCTATGAAAGGAAGGGGATGAGGAAGGATATTTTGTAGTGGTTAAGAGCACAGTC